GGGGTCAGTCCCCCCCCCCCCCCAGTAGTGGCGAGTACCAGCATCCTGCTTTTTTTCTGGCAAATGTCTCCAGTGACTGTCGTGGGTGATGTGTAATTCTGAGATTTAGTTAATTGTGAACAATAAGGAAGAATTGTACCAGTAAAATGATGAGCGATTGTTCCCTCTACAGGGAAAGTTGGAGGACCGAGCACCTCTCCTCAACCTGTTTGCAGACAGTCCCATGCACTTTATCATGACGGCTGCCCAGTGAGTATCAATCCAATCATTTACTACTACTGCACGTGTACTTTCTCAACTACCTGTTAAATGATTTGCACAGACGTGGCCCAAATGTACCCCCGACCCTCCCTCTCCCCCCTCTAGTTCCTCTTTTTCTGTTGCCTGTTCCTCTAGCAACCAACCGCTTTTATTACTTCCTGTGACCATCTCCAGGCTTGTAAAATGAATGCAGCGGCAGCTGTTGGGAGGTTGGTTCCTATTGACGTAGACACACCTCCAGAACTGCATCTCCCAGAAGCCCTTTCTCTGCCTGCAGTGTGTTTGAGGGCTCTTGGAAGTCCAGGCAGCACCATTGTTTTGCTGGCAAATGAGATTTGCAGAGGGATAGGCACAGCACTGTGGTCTGACAACAAATGCTTGGAATTCTGGAGCAGCAGAGGCACTGTATGTGCTCTAATATAAAGTTATAAGTTCACCGGATTTCTTGCAGCTCAGCAAGTATTTTTTTTTTACATGCAGCTTAAAGGAGAACTATGAGGCGAGTAAAAATCACTCAGCATCATGGTCCTGGCCGACCTGTGACAATGAAAATGTCACAGGTCGGCTCAATAGATCGGGAAGTGAGCTAACACATACCGTCGCTTGCTTACTTCTCGATCCTGTCCCTGCAGAGAGCCGTGACTGTCCCTCCTGGCTCCCTGCAGGGATTCCCCCTCCCCGCCCTGATCCGCCAGCGCTGACTGGTGGAACGGGAGGGGGAGGGTATAGCTGGCTCTGCCTCTAGATAGGCAGAGCCAGCTGTCACTCACGCAGCTGGGTGGATCCAGACAGTAATGTCGGGATCCGTCCCAGCTGCGGCGGTCTCAGTTTACCGCGAGCTGTAGCTCCCTATATACTGAGCTTTGGGTGACGGGGGACGCTAGTTTTTGCCCTCCCGTGACCCTTAGGAGAACTATGGGGAAAGGCCCTGACCCCATAGCTCTCCTTTAACTAAAAGGGTAGAAAATAGCGGAATGAACATGTACCAAATGTGTCTTTGTACTGTACTTTCACTCCATTATGCTTAAACTAAACCCCCCTCCGCCCCCGTCCAAGTTTTATCCTCCCCAGACCTTGCTATTGCCAGATCTTTGGTAATTGGCCCATAGGGAGCCTTTGCATGTAAGGCTTCCTGCGCTGGATTTCACTTAAATTAAATCTAAATCTGTCCTGCAATCATATAACCACACCGCTTTCCTGACATGTGTCCTTCTCTGCCTCCTCGCCAGGAAGGCTCACGGGGAAGGCTTACAGGAGAAGCGCTACATCTTCCTGAAGAGGCTTTGCCAAGTGGTGTGCGCTCTGGGCAGTCAGTTGTGCACCCTGACGGCGGTAAGAATTGTACTTTGCCTTTATGACACTTCGCTGTCCAAACTCAGATCTCCTAATCTTCCACTTCACCTTCTTCATTCCCAGTCTCCCGAGAACAAGATCAAGATCCCGATGACTTTCGGCAAATACCTGAAATCTTTACTGGATTTCACTGCGCACCCCAGCCAGGTGAGGGAGGGCGCCTCTCTCTAAATATCTCCCTGCTGCGTACGCTTGGAGGGGGCTCTGCTGATCTCTCGACTTGTTTTTCAGTTCCTGAAATCTTCCACCATGATGACGTGGGGGTCTCTCTTCAGACACGAATTACTATCGAAGGACCCAGCTCTTCAGGCCATCGGTCCAGAATTCCTGCGAGTTTCTATGAGTAACATAGTCCGGGTGAGCTTTGGATGGGATATATCTTCCTGTAAATTCCGCATGTCACTGAATGTTCTTTTTTTAAAGGCGACCTAACATCTAGAAATAAACAGGGCCCTCCCACCTCCACTTCTTGTTCACTGGTATTTATATAGCGCCTACAATGTGTGCATTTGCATAGAGCACATTCACATCAGTCGCAGGGACTGATATGAATGGGCTCTATGTAAATGCATAAATTGTAGGCGCTATATAAATACCTGTAATAAATAAGGGACCTCATATTGCAAGCTCTTTATTTCACATGCATACATACAGGGACAATTTAGAGAGGAGCCAATAAACCTTCCAGCATGTCTTTGGAGTGTGGGAGGAAACCCGGAGTGCCTGGAGGAATCCCACACAAGCACACAGAGAATATGCAAACTCCATGCAGATAGTGTCCTGACCGGCACTGAGTGCTGCAATGCAGAAGTGACAACCACAATTCCATTGTGCTGCCCATTATGGCCACTATTCCTATGAATGTGCAGAGAATCTACAACAGCTGTTCGCTGTGCAAACATTTTATCAATCCACTCCATAGTGTCTAAATACAAAGCCAGGCGTATCCTTGTTGGAATCTTGGTGTCCTTAAGTATCTCTTCCAGATCAGTGCAGGAATCCAGAAAGTTTGCCATGGAGCATGCACCTGTAACTAGAAGTCAGTAATGGCAGCTCCCCTCCCCTATGTCTATTCTGACAGGTTCTCTTCAAGCACAGAAGTGTGCTCAAGCCCCAGGTGGGGGGCCATCTGATATCCATGTAAGAACGGATGTGCTGGGCACATGTAGAGGTTAGAGGAAAGTAGGTCAGATGTTCTCGGTATACGTTTTGGCTTTTCTGCAGTCTCTCCCGTGTTTTTCAGTTGTGGAGGTCAGGAGGAACTTCTTTTGTACTCGCCCTCTTTCTGTCTTCTAACAGTCCCCAATTTCCACTTCTTTTCAGATGGGCTACCCTTCCAAGAACAACAGTCCCAGCTGTGAATATTCCCGACTCGACTTCGATAGTGACGAGGACTTTGTAAACTTCTTCAACTGTGAGTGGAACTTGTTCAATGAAGAGCTATCCATATAGAATGTAAATGTCCCAAAATGTGTTTCCACTTTGTCTTGAGTTAGTTGGGTTTGCTTTCTGCTTTGGTCAGTAGAGGGGGAACAAGTGGGGTATCTTTTCTTCTATGATCACTAGAGGGGGGATCGTGGGGTCCCATTTCTGCTTTGGTCAGTAGGAGGAGGATAGAGGAGTTTCCCTTCTTTTCTGGCCAGTAGCGGGGGGGGGGGGGGTGGGAGTTGGT